GGCGCGCAGCCGGGAGTCGGTGCGCAGTCGTGCCGTTACACCTGCATGAAAGAGGAGAGTTAAGTCTCGCATCATGACAAGAAGGGTTGCTGGCGTGCGAGATTTAAGCATAGAAAGCGGTGCGGTAGGGCATGGCCCCACGCCCTGAGAGCCCGGGAGGAAAGGCACGTACCTGTCTTGAGCCCGAGCTTGTGCGCGTGCACGAGAGCCGAGGAGAGCCCCGCTGGTGTCGGGCGCGCCATGAAGAGATTCATGGACTGAGAATGGTCGACGAAGAGCCCCCTGTCAGCTGCCATGTCGATCACCACCTTCTGCTCGATCTCCCAGACCGTCTTGTACAGCTCCTTGAGGTCGTCCGGCACCTCCTCCAGGTCCTTTACAGAGCCCCTGTTGGCCATGATCTTGTCCTTAAGCGCCTCGCTCCACAGCCCGCGCTCGAGGAGGTCATCGAGTAGATGGCTATTGACCACCACGAACTCGCCTGCCAAGGTCCGGCGCACGTACAGGTTGCTGCTGATGGGCTCAGCTGCCTCCACGTTGCCTAGGATCTGCCCCGTTGAGGCGGTTGGTATCACGCTCGTGAGGAGGCTGTTGCGCATCCCGGACTTGACGATCCGCGCCTTCAAGGCCTCCCAGTCATAGCCGATCGGGGGAGGCTTCAAATCACCAGAGGTCAAACTGAAGGAGGCCTTCAGAGGACGGGGAGCCCTTGAAGGAAGAGTAGGGGCCGAACTCCTCTGCAAGATCGACCGAGGCCTCCACTGCTGCGTAGTAGATGCTCTGGAAGATGGCCCTGTTCAGAACCCTTGCTTCAGGGCTCGACAAGGGAAGCCTCAGCATCATGAAGACGTCAGCCAGGCCCTGCACCCCCAGACCCAAGGGGCGGTGCAGCTTGTTGGAGTGGGCAGCCTCTGGGATCGGGTAGAAGGTCTTGTCGATCGATAGATCCAGATTTTTGATGACGACCTTGGTAACCTCCCGCAGCTTGGCCATGTCAAAGAAGACCTTGCCATCCTTGGTGACCGTCACAAACTGAGGCAGGGCCAGCGAAGCCAGCGAGCACACGGCAATTTCCTCGTTCGACGTATATTCAGTGACCTCTGCAGAGAGGGATGGACACTTTGTTAGAGCTGGCCCTGGTTGCTGCCAACCTCACAATAGCCCTCACCGTTGCTTCATGCTGCTACTTTGCTATCCGTGAAAAGGCACAAAAAGCGCTCCAAAGCCCCGACCTAATGAGCGCAAAGCTTGCTTGCATGCAGGAAGCCCTTACCCGCACAGAGGTTTGAGCTCTTAATAGTGCCCAGGTGGCGCTGGTTGGACTTTCTGTTGACGGCGTCCTTGAAGAGGACGTACGGGGTCCCTCCCTCCACCTGCGCCGTCAGCATGGCGCTCCAGACAGCCTTGGCCCGCACCACCCTGCTGGCGAGCCCCGGGGTTGCCTCATAAGAGGCGTACAACTTTTCAAACTGTGCTCCATAGCAGTCGGGGAGGCCGGGGGCCTTGTTGGGGTCGAACAGGGACCACATGCCGTCCTCCTCCACCCGCTTGATGAACAGATCCGGCACCCAGAGGGCGGTGAAGAGGTCTCTGCACCTCATCTCCTCTTTGCCGCTGTTCTTGCGCAGCTCGAGGAAGTCGAAGATATCAGCGTGCCACGGCTCCAGGTAGATTGTGATGGAGCCCTTCCGCTTCCCCCCCTGCACCACAGCTCAAGATTCTTGAGACCTGCAGACGTTATAAATAAAGCCTGCCCTTGGGGAACCTTGCTCTGGATGCGACTCTAAAGAAAATTGTCTATAGAGAGTTTATTACAGAAACATGGGATTTCTTTCCATTTCATAACCTCACCTGGTTGACGTATCGTGCCAGGGAATTGAAGTTTTGCAGCATGGGAACGATCCCCGTAGAATCGCCCCCGGTGCCTTCAATGGGGGACCCGTCGGAGCGGATGGAGTGGATGTGCACGCCTATGCCACCGCCCCACTTGGACAGAAGAGCGCACTTTTTGAGCGTTTGGTAGATCCCCTCGATCGAATCCTCTGTGCCCACGAGGAAGCAGCTGGCAAGCTGAGGCCTGCTGGTCCTGGCGTTGAAGAGCGTGGGGGACGCGTGGGTGAAGTAGCCCTCTGACAGAAGGGTGTAAGTCTCCAGCACGCGCTCCAGGTCATTTGGCCCGTGGATGAAGAGAGCTACCCGCATCCACATGTGCTGGGGCCTCTCCGCTGGCCGTCCTCCCTTGGACAACAGGTAGCCCTTGGTGAGAGTCTTTGCGGCAAAGTAGTCAATGGCGTACGACTTTGAGTGGTCCATGGCTGCCTCCAGGGTGTCGCACAGGCTGTCATCACTCATGATGCGATCGTACAGTGCCTTGTCCCACCTCTTGCCCAACAGCTTCACCGACTCCCTGAGGGTGGCTGGCGTCCCCTTGTGTAAATTTGACACGATGATGCGTGCCGCGAGGACTCCATAGTCAGGGTGGATGGTCTTGAGGCTCTCTGCAATTTCAGCAGTGAGAATGTCAATCTCCTCCGTAGTGACTTGATCATAAAGCGAGTTGCTGACCCGCTGCACCACCTTGACTGGATCTGCGTGCAGCAGAGGGGCACCGGTGACGCGAGGGGACCTGTCCTTGACGCGCTGCGAGCTCTTGAAGTAGCCATAGGCGGGCTTCTCTGCGTAGGGCTGATGCACGTTGTTGCAGAGGGCAGAGAGGCGCTGCGTGATCTTGTCAAAGGAGACGCCCTCCCGGCTGCCAGAGCGCTTTGTGACCTCCATTGCAAAAAGTAATTGATCAAACGAGCCATCAGACCTCCTCCTAAATACTCCTCACTTGGCGGAAATTGTCGAACCCGCAAATGGGCGGGCGCCATGGCAGATACAGGAGAGGGGGGCGCCATGGCAAAGGGATGGCGAATCCTGGCGCCCAAAAGGATAGGCACAATGAAAAGAGGCAGGATCTCGGCGCACGAGAGTCCTGCGCGGCGGGGTTTGGCGCCGCCCGCCACCAATTGTATGCACTTTCGACGCTATGGCACGCGCAAACCCTTAAGGCACGGGCGCCAACTCCTTGTTTTCCACGTCATCTGAGCCGCAATGGGTCAACAAGTAGACAAGAAATACCCCTACAGAGCCAGCAGCCGCCAACAGCCGCCAGAAGCCCGCAAAGGCCCCTCCGTTTGCAAACATCCTAAGTAGATGGCTGCCTCGCTTACGTGCCTTTAAAACTGAAAAATATAATGGGCACACCCCATTATACGAGATGTTTCTCATCGACCTAGAAGGACAATGCATCGAAGCCAACAAGCATAAAGTTCCCATCATTTTGGTCGGGGAGGAACGGCAGCCTTGGATTAAAGCAAACGAAGCAGCTGCTCTACTTGGTTACGTCAACTTCAGAAAGGCTGTTACGATGCACGTAAAGTCCCACAGGTTGCAGACCCATCAACAGCTTCTGGACAGGGGTGTGCCCACGGAAAGAACCAATTAGCAAAACGTGTTGTGAGAGCCTTTTTCACAAGAGGTATTGCCACTGGTCTCGAAAGGCTTAGGGAAACGAGTCATTGAAATGTTAGACAAAATGGTCGTGACTGGTGAGAGGATCAGCAAGTGGCTTGATGATGCCCAGGTGTTCTGTGTTGTTCATCAAGGCACGGTTTACTACAAAGCAAACGACGTTGCCAAGCTACTTGAGTATTCCAACTTTCGGAAGGCGGTCACAGTTTTCATTCCAAAGCAACTTCTCTATCTTGGAAATACGATCGGGTTCAACAAGATGAGAACAGTCGTTTCACAACAGTAGAAAGTGTCTCCCATTTGGTGCATGCATCGCGGCTCCCGTCAACCGTCGGAGTGGCCAAAGATTTGGGGCTACCAATATCAGAGAGATATAAACAACACTTCCAAGAAATGGACACAGTGCATACAATCTTAGGAGTCTTTATACGAGAGCGCTTGATCCGCCAGCCCGAAGTAAACGGCCGTCGAGTTGACCTGTACTTTCCAGACTACAATATAGCTGTTGAATGTGACGAGTACAATCATAGATACAGAGATCAAGTTGATGAAGCAAAGCGCAGCACAATGATCAGCAACTGTCTTGGTTGTCACTGGGTTCGTTACGATCCAAACCGGGACGCATTTGATATCATCGGTGTTCTTGGCAAGATATATGCTTTGATTTCTGGTAGTAAGATGAAGGCTTGAATGATGCAGCTCCAGCAGTCTATCAACCTTCACGAGGGGCAATAATAAGTTTGTCAAGGTGGCTTAGGGATAAAGATTGTGGATAAGAGAGGAGTCATGGAGATTACCACTCAGGGACGGATTGTGCACCGGAAGGACCTGGACCCCACAACAGTCCGGGAGTTGCGTTCGAGGTGTACTGCAGTTGGTGTAGTAGACCCATTCACTCAGGTTCCGCCTAGAATCTGCTGCCTGCGGTCTCTGCCGGACGGCCGCCTAGCCTCCCCCCTGCATGTTCCTCTTGACTCCCTGCGCCTCCCGGAGGCTACAGACGTTAGGCCGCAGCCAGAGCCTCTCTCAGACTTTCCGGCTTTCGAGGGCCGTTTAGACATCAGCAGACGCCAGCAGGAGGCATTCGATGCCGTTTTAAAGGCACTTTCAGAGAAGGGTGCTGGAGTGCTCTCCATTCCCGTCGGTTTTGGTAAGACCACCGTAGCAATTGCAATTGCATGTCATTTCAAGGTTAAGACCCTGATTGTTGTGCACAAAACGGCTCTACTTGACCAATGGGTTGAGAGGATCCAGACCTTTGCACCGGGTGCCAGGATAGGCCGAATCCAAGGGCCACTGGTTGATTGCGAGGACAAGCACTTTGTAGTGGGAATGCTGCAATCCCTTAGCACAAAGGCATACGACCGAAAGGTGCTCGACAGCTTCCATTTGGTCACACTGGACGAATGCCACCACGTTGGTGCTCCAATTTTCTCGAAGGCCTTTGACCGTTTATGTGTCCGTTACTCTTTGGGCCTCTCTGCCACCCCTGAGAGAAAGGACGGCTTAAAGGACGTCATCAGCTGGTATCTAGGAGAGGTATGCTTCAAAGTGGAGCGAAAGGATGCCTCCACGGTCGTGGTTGAGCGAATGAAGTACGAGAGCCCCACTTACTCTCGAGAGATTCCCACTTTCCCCAACGGCCAGCCGGCCCTCTATAGAATGATCGAGACGCTCTGCTCGGACCAACGGCGCAACAGCTTGCTGGTCGAGAAGGCTTCTTCCATCACGCGTGATAAGAGCGTCTCTCTCTTGATCCTTTCTGAACGGAGGGCACATTGCGCAGAGCTTAAGGAGGCTCTTTGCAAGCTGCACATCAGCGCAGGACTGTTTCTTGGAGGTTGCAAAAAGGAGGAGCTCGAGGCAGTCGCTCAGGAGTGCCAGGTCATCTTGGCAACATATTCGATGGCAGCAGAGGGCCTGGATATTTCAAGACTTAATGCTTTGATTCTGGCAACCCCCAAGGGCGACGTGCGGCAGTCTGTGGGGAGGATCATGAGGAGCACTGGTGCCACGGCACTGATAGTGGATATGGTTGACAATTGGGGACCTTTTGCAGCTTTCGCAAGAAAGAGAGATTGCTTCTACAGAAAGAGTGGATTCTCATCCACCGCACCCTGTATGATCAGGGTTTAGGACGGGTCCGTTCTATGTGCCATGCACTTCTCTCAAAGTTGGTGACTCCTAGTGACAAGCCACATGCGACTGGGAGGAAATTTGTGAAACACGTGAATGCATGAATGAGGCAGATGAAGATGATGACGCTTGTTTGACTGAGTTCTTTTGCCGCTTGCTTACAACTTATACAAACCGTACTCCTAACCGCCCATCAACGGAGAGTATAAGCCTGTCTCCATCACAAAGTCTACAAAACGTTCCGTCTTACGCCGAGTCCAACACAAACCTTAATCTATGGCAACTGTGAACCTAACATAGGCAGGTAAAACACTGGTTGGATCATGACAGTCAATGTCATACCAGCCTTCGTCACCATCATCGCTCAGGCCTGCAGAGAACGCCAACCGCTTGCCCTCCTTACAGACTTCTATTGCCGCTTCTATTAGCTCATTATCAACCTCACGATCCATATCCCCAACTAGAAAGCCAGCTCGTATTGTGGTGCGCATGCGCAGCTGCTGCCCAGTCAATTTTTCAAACAACCTGGCATCTGCTACAGCTCTGAAAAGCCTTACAGCTCGGTGATACTTCAGAGGGTCAGGGTCCGGGCCTCTATCCGACCCTGCCATGTCGTGAAGACTCGCTTCTGCCACATCCAGACGCGACTGCAATGCTGACTTTAGGTCAGCCACTTGCTCTGCAGAGAGTGCTTTCATTTCCGCTTCTCTGAGCACCCCCTCATAGTCCCCGACCAGATGCTTCCCCTCAAACTCCAACCCTCGCACCCATAGGCCTATTGTTTCCCGGGTCGAGGTTCGCGTTGCATACCAGAAGTTGTAACATCGTGTGTCCACTCGCCAACCCTCAACCAACCCCATCATGACTCTCAAGTACCTCGTCTCATCCTCCAAACGCAGTGGCCCATCAATATCCTCAAAATCAAACCCAAACAAAGGTGAGGCGATCCTGTATCTGAGTTCCAGCACTCTGGCGTTGTATTCTGCTTTGAGGATTGGCTTCAGACGGCACAAAAGTTCCTCGTCGTGGCCTTCCAAGTCACATTCTCCATTAAAGTCTTGCCAAGCCTGTGCAAGTCTGGCTTGGACCCTCTTCCGCCACTCTTCCAAGGATACATCATGTAACCTTTGTCCAAAGTCCTCTGCTGCACTACCTTGGGCCAGGCGTGCTTGGAGTACAGCTTTTAAGAACTCATCCTGCAGCAATGCAGGATTGCTAACCACCCGATTGACGAACGCATCAAGCGACTCGTAGCTTCCCATGTCTCCTCTCAACAATTCCCAAATGCGGTTCACCCTGCTGGCCCCCGCCTGGCTCCGCCACACCAAGCTCACCACCCACCTGCGCCACCACAGCCTGCTGCTCGCCCCGGTTCTTGCAAGCACTTCTCTCGATTGCTGCAACGTCTGGCCACTCGAATCGTCCTCCACCTGCCCCGCTCCTGGTTACCCTGTTTACCAAGAGCCCCTTGCTCCTTGTGCGCTTGCCATACGGTCTCGGATCTGAGCGTCCAGAATGTCCAACGAGTAGACGTTCTTGAACGGAGAGTCGAAGTCGAGCCTGAACTGGCCCGGCGTCGGCCACACCGTCCTGTCGCGATGACCTGCATCGACGTGAAGCTGACTTCCTCGGCATTCCTCTTGAGGTAGTCAATGTCTTCCATACACTCCATTCAGAGCCCAAATAAATGAGTGCTGCTTTCACGCGTGAGTATGTACACAAGTTAGTAGCAAGTGTGTCTCTCCATTGTTCCAAGACCTTCCGCAGAGTACTTGTATTGATGTTGTACTTCTCTGAATGCTGCGCCTGTTTAAGGCTATCCAATCCTCCTGTAGAGCGAATCGCCTTGACTACATCGTCTGTGATTTTATCAAAAGGGTGCGCCCCCCGTGCCGGATCCAATCGATGGACACATGAATTGGTGTGTCTTTTATTCGTCGGCAATCAACACGATGCCTCGTTGCCTGTGCAGGGTGCCGACTGCCGCATTGCCGCACCGCAGCACCGGCATACGACTGAAGGAAGAGCAGTGGGTCTACGCAATCAAGTGCAACTCGAGGTTCTATCGAAGCACACACCTTATGGACTCAATCTCCATGAGCTCCGTAGTCGTATTCCAGAAGCAATGCGTCGCGGAGCGCATGCTGAATGATCTCCGCTACATCACGGATATCAGGGGGGTCGACTGCCGTCCTACGCAATTGATAATGCAAACTTCCGTGCATGCGACCCATGTGAATGCTCCCCTTCCAGAGGGTGCCATCCTGGAGATCTATCCCACCATGGTTGGCATTATTGCTGAGTACCCGCATTCCAACTGCCTCGACCTCGACATCATCACTGGAGATGCGGATGTAGAAGGCACTAGCAAGATCGTGAGCTGTCCTCGTCCTCTGGATAGATCTCTAACCACATAGGGATCCCTAGATACATATGTATTTGCAACTTCCGCTGGCTCAGAAAAGTCGTCCTATGAGTACTATTGGGGTTCTTCTGTCTTTGGTACCGTGAACTACAGCAGTTCTGACCACATGTGACATAGTATTGACCTGATATACAGGTTTGAGTCCTGAGCATCAAGTATATTACATCCATACCACATAAGGTCCCTAGGTAGGTATGTAGCTGCAACTTGCTGCGGGCTCAAAGAAGTTGTACTACGAATGTTCACAAACATATGGGCCAAGCACCGAGTACTGACCAAGCACCGACTTTTTGACGGTTATGTAAGGAGGCCAACTCAGCAGGCCCAGCAGTTCTTGCTTAACAGCTGGAAGCTACGTTTTGCTGGTCAGTGGTCAGATGCTCGCAAGGATCGATGCGCTATGGTACAACCACCCAAAAACGAATGGCAATCGCACCTGTAGCAGATGAGACGGGCTAAACTGAGCGGATGAAAGGAAAAAGGAAGCATCCAGTCTTGCTATAACCTTGACAGCAATGTTAATCAATCTAACTTTGCATCAACCTGTGCGCTTCTCAGGAGGACTTTCGAAGGGGGGAGAACACCTTCCGGCTGGCTCCCTACAGCCACACCTTCGAGGCCACTGTCTTGGGACCCAAAAAGCCGGCCATGAAGGCCAAACGTTACTTGACAAGACGCAAGACCGGAAAGGTGACTCAAGTTTGCAGTGTTTCACGGGTGAACGAGCTTGCAGAGTAAAGACGCTCACACACAGAGAGAGCGGACCTTGGAACCTCGTTAGTCCCCTGCCTCGCTCTTGGCTGAGCTGTGCAGCCCCTGGACGTCACGTGGTATTTCAGATACATGAGGCTCCTCTAAGGGGCCCTCGACATGGTCTAGGTTCAGGAAGTCCACCATGTCTTGCCTATCTCCTGTGAGTGACCATCTGCAAGAAAGGCAGCTTCTATGCAGATACATCAGTGTGTTTATGTCGTACTTTGAAACCTTCGTCCTCCGGAAGAGTTTGGCATAAGTGGTCGACTCAATTGGAAAGAAGTCAGTCTGTCATGCGCTTGCAAGGGCCATTGAGCTCAGAAGTTTGCAAGAGTTAAGGACTCTGGCCGCAATCAACGCGGCAGGCGGGCTCCCGCCGTTATATCAGGTTTGCAAGCTGTAAAGCAATGCCAGCATTGTGTGCGAATGAGGATGATAACGACAGTCTGGCAACAGTGAATGCCAGCAGGTTGTGGAGAACTGTAGAGAACAAAAGGGAGAGCCGACGAACTTCGAATTTAAAGAGCTCGCAGGCTAAGCATCTGCGTAGAAGGTTCACAGCAGCCGATCCATCGTAACTCCCTGTGAATGTACCCTATGCTTTTTCCAGTGGTCAAGAAAACTTCTCCAACTTGGAGGCACAGCATGCACTCTCACTCATCAAAACAAGGGGGCTCTACAATGTTAGCCAAAGAAACTTTAACAAAAGCCCTATCTTAACACCTGCACAAAACGTCACCTGGTAATGTCCTCCATGCTGAGCTGGCGCGACGTCCTCTGCAGACAAGCATCCCTCTCGAAGGCTTTCTGACTAGGCGCATGCTTCTGGTCACTTGAAGGGCCTGGATCTCTGACACATGAGGAGCCGGAGCTAACAGTTGATCGGGACCCTTCGGATGTGGCGAATATGTCTTTGTACAAAGAGCTCGGCTTTTGACACTCGTTCACGCTCTGTTACACGGAGGAATTTGGCTAGGCTGTAAGTGGGGACAGCTTAAGACCAAAAGAAAGGCACATGAACGAGGACAGGGAAAGCGCAGAGAACGCGCAATCAAAGCTGGTAGAAAAGAAGGCAACAAGGTCCAAAAACAGGTAGGTTATATTGCAGAGCAGACGAGCAGATTACTTCGCAAGTTCCTTGAAAGTAGAGAGGCACAAGCCGTCAGACAAGAAGATGTGTGAAACAGGAGCAAGAAATCAAATAGAACGATAGAATGGCCGAAGAAGCCTCCTAATCCGTTCACAGGCAGCTTCGAAAATGCTTAAAGGGGAGCTTCTCAGTCTTCAGAATCATCATTCATGATGGGGTCACCGAGTACAACATGACGATTCCTTACAATCAGGGGAATGCCCGCCAGCTGGAGTGCCATTCCTTGCATTCCACGCAACTCTAAGAACGGAAACAACAAGCCTTAGCAATGTTCCCCTGAAATCCTGCCAAGGGAGATCCAATGGATACATTAAGGTGACCTACCAGATGGCCGTCAGGAGCCCTGCAGAGCACAATGACGTCACCAGCTTGCAGGCCTCTGGATTGGATGAAGTCAGCGGTGTGCTCAAATACATAGATCCGGCTTCTGTTGTTAGGCCAGAATCTGGGCGGAGGAAGGGGAAGGACTGACAATCAGAAGTCATGGATATTTCAAATGCTGCACTGCCTCTTGTGGAACTGAAGAGCAGACACTTACTCCACAAGAATGAGTCAATGCTTTTAAACTCGATTGGATCCATGACACGATTCCAATACCTTTAAGTTGTTTGTCACTCCATATACCTCCACCCGAGATAAATCGACGTGTACTAGAACGAAGCTGCCAAACACGGACGCTTGCGAATGCATTTGCCGTTGCCTCCCATACACCGCCCATAGACTCATGGGGAACTGGACAATGCATCAGAATATAATTCATAGCACAAAGGAGATTTGATTCTCTTACACAAAGGGACAACAGACACCAGAAGTAGCCAGCCAAGACATACAAATGTCAAACACGTTTCTAAGGTGACAATGAAGACAAAGTGATAGGAAGACCGGCCTGTAGCGCAGCTCCCAATTCCTCCCATCTGCATCCTCCACAGTCATTGGGCCTCCTTCCTTTTCCAGCACCTTGGGCAGGTGAAGCTCAGCTTGGGTCTGCACAGAAACTTTGTTCCTAAAAACCAGAGTACAATATGAAGAGAAAGCTTTTAATCTACGAAGTTCTTCCTTTCAGATGCTCCTTCTTCTATATGGGAGCCTCAGCAATAAGCAAAAGTGGTTCAGATTGGTTCTGTAGAGAATGAGGAGAGAACCTTCACATTCAAGGGCCTTCTTTTATTAAGATTTGGACCTTCAGTCATGAAAAGCTCCAATGAGGAGAAGAAACCTTAGCGAAGAGCAACCTCCGTGTGAGCAGCTGTGAACAGAAGCTGGGACTCGATATTGAAAGCTGCGTCTTTCACATGTCCTTGGGCGAGGAAGAGGAAGTGAAATTGTTCATAAACATCACAATCAACGAGACTCCCTGCAAAGTAGAGCTGCAGTTCAGGGCCCTTCAGAAATTGTTTACTTCATGTACGTTATGAGCTTTCTGCTCCAGAAGGAAAGAGGGACAGGGACAGGAACTGGTGGTAAAGAGATGCCTGGAAGGCCAGTGTCCAACCAAGAAGGCCTGTATCAAGCTCATTAGTTCGTCAATTGCAGCAAGGATAAGGGAAGCGCCATACCTTTGGCAGAATGATCCGCCCCAGGGGACTTGTATCACTAGCGGTGAGTACCTTCTCAAAGAGTACGTACCAGGCAGCTGCGTCTGCTGGTTGGGGCCTGACCAGCTGGCGGACCCACTGCATCAATCTGCAAGAGGGATCAGATACATCTGTTGTGATTGTATCAGGAGCACAGTGGCATCGAGACAACTTGGAATTAAGGCTGCGAGCCTGCAATTGAGATGATGTCGACCTACCTTCCAAGGTGAACCTGTCTGACTTGACACCTGACAAACTCACCGGCCGATGACAGAGCAACCAAGTATCCAACTGTGACCTTTTAGAGGAGCAGCAAAGACATCCAAAAGTCTGTCTTTTTGAAAGCAAAAAGCCTGAGTATGCTGTTTGCCAGTCACCTTTTGAGAACGTCAATGAGCTCTGAGACTTGATAAGCAATGCACCTACCTCTCTTCTGGTGTTTTGGCCGTGAGCTAGCTCCCCTCATGTGAGACGCCAGGACCGTTCGAGGCGTCCAAGATGGCTGACCTTTCGGCGATCTCGGACCTGCCTTCTCATCGCTTGCCCTAGTGTCTTTTGGAGGAAAGACAGGCACGTTCTCGAGAGGGGGATTAGCGGAGGAGTTGAAGAAGTAACTGGGGCTCAACCCGAGACTGGGGGTTGGCCACGATTCGAAGGCCATGCACGGGCTATAAGAAGGGTTTGCGCTCTGGAGGTTGCCTTTTTCGCTTTGCAGCAAATCAAAAATATCTGTGCCCACATCACAGCCGATTGGCTGCCCCAATCCGCTTGACATTACTGGCAGCGTGCTTTGCTGTGAAGGAGGGGGGTTGCTCCTCTCAAAGTTGAGGTCAGATATGCCCCCCCACCCGCCAGCATTCACTGGGAGGTACGCCGCCAGTGCTTCTGAGTTTGGGGAGGGGCCTCCTGCAGCCCGTTCGGGATTCCCCACTGAGCACCCTCTAGCTCGTTGGCCCCCATGTCAAATTCTAGGTGGAGGGAGGCAGGGCATGGGTCAGCTGAATTGTCATGGAGACTTATCGCCTGTTCTTTTAGGAGGGGGGCGTTGTTGGCGCCAGGGGAGGGCAGCTCGTCCACATTGTTGGTGGACTGCTCCTGGCGGTACTTCTTGCACAGCTCCACCAACTTTCGGACCTGGCCACACAAGCCAGACTTCAGCCGGACATCCAGAAAAGCACGCTATCGTGCTCTGAGGAGATGAATGAATCAGAGAAACAAGAGCTGAGCAGGAAACAAGCGCAGAAAAACACACAACTTGCGCTGGGACTCCACTTTGAAATGATAAGAGTTGCAGAAGCACTACTCAAGAATATACACAAAGCTTCCATCGATCGCTGGTCCTTTATCGAATAAAGAGGAGGACTCAAACAAGGCCGTCCTCGGTGTAGTAACGCCGAAGCACATTGGATCCTTTCTTTGCGCTGCATGCTCTATCAACAACAGGGAAACTCTACGAAAGGGAGAGAAGCAATCAGTAATCGACTGCCATAAGAAACGACCGAGCCAGTTCGCGGTCAACTTTGTTGAGAGCTGGTTCATGCCAGATGGCTGTCGAAGGGATAAGGACAACAAAATCCCGGAAAACCAAGGCCAACATGCATATACAAAGAAAGCTACTCAATTACCTTCGTCGGATCCAAGTCCTTCAGCTTCCGACCCAGAACTCTTCGCAAATTGTCGGCATTTGCAAGACGTGCCATCTCCAGGGAGACCCTGCCCTGTCCTGCAAGAACGCTGCTCTTGCTGCTGCCATCCGAGACTGCTTCCACCACACTCATTTTTGCTGCATCAGGGTGCGCTTGCGGGGGCTCTGCCTTCGCGCCACATGCGCCTACCACGGGCTTTGGGCAGAGCGCCGCGGGTGGGCCGTTTGGCCACAAGCCCATTCCCGCTGGACCGAAAAAGGGGGGTCCCCATGGGGGGGATGAGTAAGAGGAGGGGGGGTGGAAGGGGCCGAGAGAAGCGTTGCCCACAAGCGCAGGCTGCGCTGCATTGAGGCTCTGTAGGGCGGCCTCGCTGCAGATCCCTGAGAAGGGATTGTGGAGCCCTAGCCAGGCGGGCTGCCCGCTGGCTTTTGTGTTTGGTAATGTCCGAAACCTCTTCGGACGGTGGTTGGAGATCCACTTCTTGAGCTGCTTGATGTCCATGCCCATGTCAGTGCAAAGGACATGTGCTTCGTCCATTGCTTCGATCCCTGAGCCAATCCATTTGACTTTGGACCTAAATGAGCGCAGCTCCTTTTGCTGCTGGGGGGTAAAGCGCATCCGCTGGCTGACTCCCCCAGCTGAGGTGAGTGGGACCTTGAAGCTGCGAAGGGAGAGGGGCGCCGGAACGTGGTTGTAGGGACCCTTCTCCTTGAACTGCTGCTGGCCCCTCTCCTTGAAGCTGTTCGAGCGGAAGTGTGCTCCTGAAGAGCAACGGTGAGAGCTGGCTGGCCTTTTGGGGAGGAAACTGTGGTTTGACCGCATCCTCTCCAGAGAGGCTCTCCTCCCATCTGCCCCGCCCCACAGCTCAGGCGCCGTCAGCTTGGACCCCCCCAGCGCCTCCGCCTTCGCAGCCTTCACCTCGCTGCTGCAAGAACGTGCGCTCCCAAAACTGTCCAGGCTGTGCTCATCCAACAGCGGGTTTTTGATCACCATGCCCGTCACAATCTCCTGATCCACCTCCATCAGAGTCAGATGTGACCTCTGGTCGGTTGTCATTTCCACTCCCACGTCCTTCTTCTCCAACCCCGTCCCCTGGCTCTCCCTCTCATCTGTGCTGTCATAGTTTTTCAACTGGGCCTTCACCCCCTTGCTTCCTTTTGGCTCCCCCTCATTTTCCAGGGGAGGTCTCGACATTGCGCTGTCCATCTCTCCGTTCCCAGGGGCCTCACCAGGGGCCTCAAACTCGTTCCACAACAGGATCTCAGACAGCACGTCCATGCTTGCCAGGCGGGGGCGTTCGCAGGATCAGGTAGGGCCAATTCCGGCACTCATAGTTTTGGCTCCCTAGCGGCATGGTAAAAAGAAAAGTTTTTGGCGTTCTTGGTTGGGGTCGAACCCAAGACCTTCCCGTAGGTCCGTGGACCCGGAGATTTTGAA